GGTCTCGCCTGCCTTATCCATCTGTTGCACTGAGTGGCAGAGAAACAGACAGCTTCCTGCCCTGTCTCCTGCAAGCACTGAGATTGCCCAGCTGCTGGCGATAACCCCAGCTCTTTTGTCTCTCTCTCCACCTGGGTCCTGTGTTGGGACAGCCATTCCCTGACCTGCCCCAAATCCCTAATTCCACCTTTATCCCGGGCCCAATCCCAGCCATCTGGACAGAGCTAGACCTCCATCAGCCTTTGTTGGGGCCGGCAGTCCCAGGCCGGGGTTGGGAGGGAGCAGCTCCCCCAGCTGGAAGTTTAACCTGTGCGGGGTTAACCCTTCCTGTGCACCATGGCTCCAGCCCCCACAGGCCAGTGGGCTGCCAGCACCCCAGGACAGGGTGGTGTCAGCAGGACCTAGCCTGTGCCCCACCCTGGAAACCCCCAGGTGGGTATCTGGGGTGGGGGGCCTGCCCCGACTGCCCTCAGCAGTGGCCTCCCTGCCAGGGGGTGGGGTCCCGTCTGTCCCAGCGCCGCCTCCTGGCCCAGGTTCAGGCCCTCCGCCCCTCTTGGCGGGCAGCCCCTCTGGCAGCCTGTTCAGGTCAGGGGCAGAGAGGGCCCCCCCCAAGCCCCCACCTCTCCTTGTCCCCCTTCAAACCTTTCACAAAAGCAGCCCCACGCCCCCCCACAGCCCACAGCCCACAGCCCACAAGTCCCTCTCCCCGAGGGACCTTGCCTGTCCCTTTCATGTTCCCGCTGCAGGGGGACCTCCCCTTCCACCGCCGCAGACAGCTGCTTGTCAGACGGCCCCTCAAGCATGGCTGTGGTCCGGCCTGCCGACCCCCCCAGGGGGGTGAGGGGGCACTTCAAGGGGGAAAGGACAGCTTTGCCACCTTCCCCGACTCCTGAATGGGGCCTCAGCCAGGCCATAAACGCCCGGCCAGCCGCACTATTGTGCTAGTTCCCCTTCCAGAACAGGTTGGGCCCACCCCCAGCCCCCTCCCGGCCAGGCTGGGGGCTTTCTTCTTGCTCTCCCTGGATGTGTGAAGCAAAAGGCCTGGAACGGGGCTGGAGCAAAAGGGGGAAGGAAGGGGGGGTTGTCTCTCCCTCTCCCACCCCCCCACTGCTTCAAAGGCAGCCCCTTTCCCTCTCCCAGAGAAAAGGCATTTACCTTCAAAAAAAGTCCCCACTGGATATGAAGAGAAGTGGGCCTCTGGCCTGGGAAAGCCAAGCGATCTCTCCCCAGAGCGGTTCTGGACCAGTGCATTTTAATAGCTGCACTTTTATGGAGGATCACAAAAAAGGGATCAAGCCTTGCACAGGGGGCTGAGACTTGGGGGGTGGGAGGTGTGTGGGGCTGACTTGGGGTGGGGGGAGTGTGCAGAAGCAAACCCTGAATCCCGTCCCAAACAAACCTCTCTGGGCTCACCCCGTAGGTAAGGGATCACCCTGCCCTGGCCGGGCACTCTGACTGCGCCCAGGCGACACCCACCGGGACATACGTGTTGGTGGGAGTGGGGCGGTAAGTGGAACATACAAGTGGTTTTGCATCCAAACCTGTCCCTTCAGGTACTTGCAAGCACAAGCCTCACCTGAGCCATCACCGCCACCCACTGCCAACTACTCCAGGGCTCCACCCCTCAAGCCCAGAGTGCCTGTGCAGGATCCTTCCTTCCGGAACCCCGAATAGAGGGGTGGACAGGGAAGCAGAGACGGGGAAGGAGAAAAGGTGGACAGAGGGAGGAGTGAGATAAAACCTCATTCCCCAAATCTGCCTTGGTCCTTTCCCTCCCCGTCCCCCCCAAAGGCTGACCCCTCCAAACCTCAGCACCTCCTGCACCTGTGAGAGCCCAGAATCTGCCTCTGTCCACCTGGAAGGAGACCGCCCCCCCAGTGGGATGGGAAATGGGGAGAAAGCTGGGTGCCCGCCTACCTGAGTTTGACAGCAGAGAATCAACAGCTGCAAGCACCTGTGTGGGAGACCAGGCAGACCCGGGTGTGGGTGGCGGCAGGAGCCCGGGGGGGGGGGGGGAGTGCACCCCACCCTGCCCCCGCCGCCTGTGTGGGGAGCTGGCCCGCGTGGGAGTCCCAGGGAGATTAGGTCTGCCCCAAGGCTGGAAGTGGCAACACAACTCCGGCCCTGGCCCTGGAGGCAGCACTTACAGCGTGAGGTTGGGCAGCAGGCGGGCGGCTCCCATCGCTGGAGAGACTTCTCGAGGTGGTTGCCCCCCTGCCCCCAAACTCAGGAGCAGATGTGGGCAGTCCCTAGGGGTAGAGTCCCAGAGAAGCCAAGGTCTCTCCGAGCCACAGGTTTTCAGGGGGGAGAGGAGGAGAGAGGGGAGGAGGAGGAGAGAGAAGGGGGGAGGAGGGGGAGGAGGAGGGGGAGGAGGGCGTAATTGGGAGACTGAGGTGTGAGGTGTCCACCTTCCCGGCCAGTGAGGCTGCTTGGCCGATTCAGTGGGGGCGTGCGCTTGTCCCCTCTGGGCTGCCAGCCTCCCCTGGGCTGCCCTGGACAGGGACAGAGCTGCGGGCCTTCTTGATGAGGTGGCCCTGTAGTCCTAGTTCCCGTCCCTGCTCTATTCTGGACCCTTGCACTCGCTTGATGCGATTGGGGTCCTGTGGCAGGCAGGGCAGGCAGGGCCCCTCCTCCCTGCTCAGGGTCAGCTTCTCCTCCCCTCAAGTTTGGCGCCCCATGTCCCTGAAGGTGAGCCGCAGGTGTCCAGCAGAGCTGGGGCTGGGGTCTCTGGTTCTGGCTCTGGGGTGCAAAGTCCCAGAAGCAGCCTTAAAAGGAGGAGCTCTCTCCAGGGGGCAGGGGTGGGCTCTGCTTGGTGTTGCAGATTGCACTGTCTCTCTGTGGCCCCTTGCCACTGGGGAGGAGGGGTTAAGGCCGTCCTGGCCGGCTGCAAATCTCAGGGGCTACAGGCTGGGGATCAAGGTGGGGAGCAGGTACAGTTGGGGACTTGGAAGAATCCTGGTGCAGAGGTGCAAAAGCTGGCCTGAGATGAGAAGAGCTGCATGTGCTGGTGCAAGCCCCTTTTCCCTGGGCCTCTGTAGTTTCCCCTGAGAAATGGGGACAGGCATGCCTTAGGGTGCTGGGGGCCAAGTGACACAGCAGCACTCAGCGGGATGCAAAACGCTTGCTTCCCAGACCTTGCCTTAGGCAAAGACTCAGCCCCACTCACCTTCCTTCCATCAGAAACCATCCAGACCATCCACCATCCACGGAGCCTCTCAAAGCTGGGAGGAGCTCAGGGCCTCCTCCCCATGTCCCCAGCAGCTGCCTGGGACAAAGCACTTACCAGCCTTTCCACACAGCCTCCAGTCCTGCATGGCCCTGTACCATGCCAGCTGCTACCCCATTTTGCAGATGAGGAAATTGAGGCACACTGGTGGGTAATTTGCTGAGAATGACTCTGCTAGTAAATGGAGTAACCAGGTTTCCAAAGTCCACATTCTTTCCTTTCTGCGTGCATTATGTCCCGCCCTCCAGGGCCCAATCCCGCACGGCTTCAGCATAGGGGTCCAGGAGCCTTCCCGGATTTGGGGGATTGTAGGCGATATCGGAGGCCCTGGAAGCTGGTGACCCTTCCTACGGAAAGGTGGAGGATGGTGACTGCAGGAGGGGGGTGGCCTTGGGGGTGCCACCAAGGGAAGCCTTGGTCCCAGGAAGCAGGCTCAGGCCTCAGCTCTGGACTCCCCAGGATGGGAAGGGAAGGGGAAATGCTGATGTGGATTTATTTACCTAAAGAGATGACTGGGAGGGAGAAACTCTCACCTCTAGGTTCCTTCTCGCCTTCCTGAGCTAGGTCAATCCACAAAGTGGTCTGTCACCCCTGCCCCCTCACACAGACACCTGAGAGCTCCACTGCAGGGGGCTGGGGGCTCAGGCTGAGCTGGTGTGGGGAGGGCAGGCGGTTCCAGGCAGGGCTTGGGAATCCAGCTCAAAGCATGTGGAACCCGGAAGGGATCTTAGAGACGCAGCATCTGCTGCAACCTTCCACAGAGAGACCCAGAGAGGGCTGGTGACTTGCCCAAAGCCTCGCAGCTGGCTGGTGGCATGGTGCACAAGGCATCAGGTGCCCAAGTGCCCGGCACAGTGCTTGCACTGTCCCAGCACACCCCAGCCTGCGCCCCTCTGCTTCTAACGCTGCTGCTTCTGGTCTTCTACGGTGCGTGCTCCTCCCGTCACTTGAGACCTGTTTTAAGCTCTGCCTCTTCCATGGATATGTCCCTCATCTGCCTCTCCAAAGCCATCGGTTCTGGCTCGAGCCTAGCTCATTTTCTGGGAAAACTGTGACCACATCCCCACCCGCCTCCCCTAGGCAGGGTGTCTGGAGGGAAGAGAGCACAGATGCTTGGAGGGGACAGCTCAGGCTGCAGGTTCCATGCTGGAGGTGTCAACTGGGGGACGGAGGGTGGAGGGCGGGAGGTGCACCTTGTCTGTTGGGACTCACTGGCCACTGGGCCTCCTGGTTCCTATCGGTGGGGACAGGGCCTGCTGTCACTGGCCAGCCTGGGTCTCCATGGTAACACATGCCGGCAGTCACACTTGGCAGTGGGGTCAGCCAGGGGGCTTCACAAGTGGGATATCTTTGACCCCTTGTCCCTTCCCCTGCGGCACCTGCAGGCCTGGCTTTCTGACTCAGTTTGCTCCTTCACCCCATGGGAAAGCTGTCAGTGGGCCCCATGAAGAGCCCTTGTCCCCATTCCCTGGTCCTGGTTGTTATGGGCTGTGTGACCTGGAGCAAGTCCCTTCCCTTCTCTGGTCTCAGGTTTCCAATTTATAAACAGGAAATGGCTACTACCACTGAGGCTGTCAGCTGAGATAAAGGACTCACTGGAAAGTATCAAGTGCCCCAGGAGCAGGGGAATGGCGAAGACCCTCGATGTGGTTCAGCCTCAGTTTACCTAAACTTTGGCAGACTTTTGCCCTGGCTGGAGTGAGCTGGGGGCAAAGGGGAGGGGCAGGCGGGCTCATTACCATGGGGGGTGATAAGGGACTGAGAAGTAGCTGCCTGTGCTGAATCCCCACCCCCTAGTGCCAAGTTCAACACTCCCCAGCTGGGGCTGTCTCACGCCTGCTCCTCCTAACAGCCCCGCTGGTGTGAACGCAGAGCCCACCTACAGACCTGCCACTTGTCACCACCTGCTTCAGCCCCAGCCCACCCTTTTCCTGTGGAAAAACAGAGGGTCAGGGCACCAAGCACCGAGACCTGGGAGCAGGTTGTCTAGCCCCTGTGCCTCACTTTCCTAATCTGAGAGGTGGGGCAGGGCCCGCTCAGCCTGCACCGCTGCGGTCGGATCAGCCTCCTCTCTGCCCAGACCCTCCAAGCTCCTGCGTGCCTCAGGCCCTTTGCATGCCCTGTTCCTGTTCCCATTCCCAGGAGCGTCCTTCTGCCAGCTCCTCACGTAGCCTGATGCCCCTTCCTGTCCATCACCTCCTCTGAGGGAGCCCTCAGACCCCCTCACTGAACAGTGCTCCCCCAGGAATTAGCCCGTTCTACTTCCTTCAAAGCACTTGATCACTTGGTCACTGAAGTCATGGCATTGGCTTCCGTGTTTCCACTAGACTGTAAGCGACTTGAGGGTGAGGAATTGGCAAAAATGCCACCCTGCCCTCTTCTGCCTCTGTCCCTGGCCTCGAGAAGCTACGGCTGAACAGGAAGCCAGAGCCGGGCCGACCTTCCCGTGCGTGTGCTCCGAGACCTCTGACCTCCTGGGATCCACGCCTGGGGGTGCCAGGCAGGGGCAAGGAAAGGCCCAGCACAGGCCCTGCATGTAGGATCCCAAGTGGGGGGCCATCTGTGTGTCTGCCTGCTTCAGGGACTGAGCCAAGGTCACCCACGGTGAACAGGGCTGCAAAGCCACCTGCTGGGGAGGGCAGGAGGCCAGAGCCACGCAGCGGGTCCTGCAGCCCCTTTCCCAGTCCTCGACTGGACCCACCCGACAGGTGACTGAGCCCTGTCTAGGGGGGCACGAGGGGCAGCACCTCTGCACACTCACCTTGTCTACCCCTCTGCGAAGGGCCCCCTTGAGGGTGCAGGACTCCGGACCCCGCCTGCCACAGACCTTTACACGCGTGAGGTCCGTGTGAGCAAGAGCCGGCCCCCACCAGAAGCAAGCTGGGCGTGTGGGTGCCCCCAAGTTCCCAACAGACACGCCTCATGCTGGCCCCCTAGGCGAGGCCCTCCCTGGTGGCCCGGGCAGCGGAAGCCCTGAAGTTCTGGACCTGTGTGCCCAGCCCAGATGGAGTGTGGGTGGCAGGAAGACCCATGCCACGACACACAGCTCAGCACAGGGCCCGGATGCTTGGTCCCTCCCTCAAAGCTAGGGGCTGGGGTGCCAGGGGCAGGAGGAGGACACAGCAGCCTCAGGTGTCAGGGCTGGGGACACCGCGGGATCTCAGGGCCCAGGTGTGCTGGCTCATGGCCGCCCTCTGCTGGGCACTCGGGCTGGTGCAGCCGGCGGGGGGGCCAACCCAGGGACAAGGAGCAGCAAGCGTCCTGACAAAGCAAACTTTATTGTGGCCCTGAGGTTGGGCTCTTCTCCCCAAGGCCTCTTGTGCAACAGGGGAGTTGGGGTGAGAGGCTCTGCTGTCACCCCCACAACACCCCTGTCACATTCAGGCTCAGAAGGGAGGGGGGTGGGCGGAGGGACAGCTTTGCACCATGGTCTCACAGGCCCGGGCTCTTCATTTCTTAGACCCTGGCTTCTTGGGTTTGAGCGTGGGTTTGGCCTGCGGAGAGAAGGCAGGACTCCCCTGTCCCACTCTCTGCCCCTGCCTGGGCAGCCTCCCCGGACAAAGCTGCCCGCCTCCCCCAGGGGGGCCAGTCCTGGGATCCCCACTCACCTTCCTCATCGGGCTCTTGTCTCTGGCGCTGGGTCTGGAACAGGGTGGGGGCAGGGAGGGCCAGCTCAGCCGATGCCCACGAGTGACCCTCCCCGTGTCCACGCTGCGGAGCGGGCCCTGCCTGGTCCCCTGGCCACCTGACCCTTTTCAAACAAGCTGGTTTTTCCCTTCTTAGGCTTCCGTCTTTTATTTCTCACCAATGTGTCTTTCATTATAAACATAACGTTAACCATATTGCACAAAATATAGCAAACGGATGAGAAAATAAATTACTTAGTATTCTTGACCTCCCCCCAGTGCGAGCATTTTGGTGTGTTTCCTTTCACGCTTGCTTTTTTTTGAACAAACTCCTTTTAAAAGTGTGAAATAAAACGATTAGCTATCCTGTCCTTTGAACCCTGTCAACACTTCCAGGTTGCTGTACCCTTCGCCAGAAATCTGTAACATCCCGCTGAGAAGACCTGGCGTGGTGACGCAACTGTTACATCAGTAGCTGTCTAGAATGCTGCCACTTTGTCGCTGTGACTTGAATAATGCCAAGATAAGTTTCTCAGTGCATATATGGTTCCCCTCATATTTTGGGCAGGGTTCTTTGGAAGGGGTTGCCCTAAGTGGAATGAGGTCACTGCTTTTCAAAAACCGCTGCCCACCACCGCCGCCCATCACTGCCGTGTCTGTGTGTCATGCACACGCACACACCAATAGCGCCATGTTCTTTTTTCTTTTCTTTTCTTTTTGAGACAGAGTCTCACTCTGTTGCCTGAGCTAGAGTGCCGTGGCATCAGCCTAGCTCACAGCAACCTCAAACTCCTGGGCTCAAGCGATCCTCCTGCCTCAGCCTCCCGAGTAGCTGGGACTACAGGCATGCACCACCATGCCCGGCTAATTTTTTTAATATATATTTTTAGTTGGCCAATTAATTTATTTCTATTTTTAGTGGAGACGGGGGTCTCACTTTTGCACAGGCTGGTTTCGAACTCCTGACCTTAAGCGATCCACCCGCCTTGGCCTCCCAGGATCACAGGCGTGAGCCACTGCGCCTGGTCCACACCACGTTCTTTCTAGCACTACATACCCCAGCTTAGGGATTGTGGCTAATTTGATAGTTACCTTGCTGCCTCTTCTTCCTTTTCCAGCTTTTTCTTCTAGGAACCAAAACCAAGCATATTAGGAGAGTTAGGGCAAGGCCAGGCCCAGAAGAAACTCCCGAGATTCACGAGGTCCTCAAGGCCGAGCGTGGGGCAGGCCGTGGTAGCTGTGGCGTGGCACGCCCTGCCGCTGCGCTTGGGAGGCTTGGGTACCCGGTGCCCCTCCCTCAGGTGCCGCTGCAGTGTTCCCACCTTGTCTCAAACAGCCACCTTCCTCTCCCCACCTTGGCAACGCTCATCTGCTTCTGGCTCGATGATGGCCTTTTGGCATGTTTGACAGGGGTGTCCTCCTCCACCGATATGTCTATGTCTTCATCCTCATCCTCTTCTTCCTCCTCCTCTTCCTCCTCCGCTTCTTCTTCCTCCGATTCTTCCTCGTCCCAGGTGAGGTCTGAAGTTTCTGTGACGGCGTGGGAAAGGGGACAGGGATGGAGCTTCTGAGCTCCAGGGTGGACGCCTGTCTCCCACCCCGCAATCTGCTTTGCTCCAAGGTGGCCCTGGAGGAATCCTCGTGTGGGGGGTGAAAGTGGTCGCCTACCTGCCCGTGGAAAGGGCCACACCCTTTGTGGAAGCCAGGGTGGGGTAGGGGGCCTGGGAACGCAGAGGGCAGGGGACTGTGCTGTCTGGGTCAGAGGAGGATCAGAGGCTGCAGGTGGGCAGAGTGGGGGAGGGGAAGGAGGCCCCAAGACAGGCCGCTGAGGATTCAGACCTTATCCTAAGGGAAGTGGGACCTGCCAGGGGTTTTTAAACAGGATGAAAGAGGCACAACTGTACAGAGAAGGATCTAGAAGGGGTCAACATTAAGTCAAGCAGCTACGGTCCCTGTCACTACCATAGCTACGTACCACGGAGCAGTGATATCTTCCGCGCTCCCTACCGTAGGTATTAGATCAAGTGCTTTCCTCGAATGTCCCATTGGTTCCTCACGACTACTCTTTGAGTTGAACCCAAGCATAGTCCCACTCTTGCGGACAGGTGAGGGGCTGACACCCACAGGGGACATGGCACGGTGGCACAGAAGACTTGGGACCAAGACCCTTGCCCGTAGCCTTCCAAGCCAAGGTTACTGGCAATCACGTTTCCTTTGGGGACTTTCTCCAAGAATTCAAAGTCCGTCAAATGTTCGAGTACCTAGAATGTCCCTAGCCCTATGCTAGACACTTCACTCTCAGACCTCTCCTGTGTCTAAGCTTGGACTTACCATAACACTCCTGGCCGCTTAGGAACACGGGTCCTGAGCCAGCCCGGAGCTGAAAAGTGACTGGAGGAGAAAGCTCGAATCTCATCATGGTGACCTGCACGGGGAGGGAGATGGGGGCAGGAGAAAAGAAGACAGGGTGACTCAGGCCTGGCACCTGGCGGGACTGGCCTTGGGCAGAAATACTCAGAGTTTATCCCCCCGCCTGCAAACACACACCCTCAAGGGCTGTTCTCGGCCCCGTGCCCTTCTGCTGTGGTGGGATCTGTCCAAGGAGAGTGTGATCCTGACAACCTCATTCTCACCCAGATCACAGATGAGCTTCCAAGCTCAGGGGCAGCTGTTGGATGGAGAAGTCTGATTGCTATGGGCGGAACTGTGTCCCCCCAAACCCAAGTTCATGTGTTGAAGCCTCGACCCCCAATGTGATGGTGTTTGGAGGCGGGGCCTTTGGAGGCGACTAGGTCATGGGGGTGGCGTCCTCATGGTGGGAATTAGTGCCCTTATAAGAAGAGATGCTAGAGAGGCCCCCCCGACAGAGTGAGCACGGAGTGACTGTCTGCAAGCCAGGAAGAGAGCCCTCACCAGGAACTGACCATGCTGGCACCCTGACCTTGGACTTCCAGCTTCCAGAACTGTGAGGGAACAAACGTCTGTTGTTGAAGCCCCCCCAGCCTGTGGTATTTTGTTATAGCAACCCAAGCTGCCTGGGACACTGATCAGAGAAGCAGAGGCAAAGTTGTATGCACAGAGCCCCATTTGTCTTATGAGTAATGTATGGATATACACGTGAATAAAGGCTGAAACATATTAAAGTGCTGACCCTAATTGTCAGCAGACAGTAAGGCATTTATTGTCTTTACGCTTTTCCAAACTTTCCAAATTTTCTAGAATAATGACAACAGCTTATATGTTTTGAGCTTCTACCACATGCCAGGCGTCATGTTAAGCATTTTACCCACTTTCTCTCCTTTAAATGCTCACGAGAAGCCCACGACAGAAGTACTGTTACAGAGGAGGAAACTGAGGCTCAGGGAGATTAACCTAGAGCTTCTTGTTCAGAGAGGAGGTGGAGTAGTGAAAGCTGAAACACCTGCAGCCGGAAACACCTAGAAATGCTGGACAGAACATAATTCAGTGTGTTTCACTGCATGGCTGAACAGCAGGATGGAAAGAAGAATTCTCATGCATTGGAGATGGGGAGAGGCACGTGGAGGAGCCGGCGCAGGGCACCTGGAGGGAGACGGGCCTGAGAACCACCAGGGCCTTGGGTTCCTGTGAACAGGAGGCTCGTGTGGACAGGAGGCAGGCCCTGGGCTCAAGAGGAGGATGGTGGTAATGACCACTGCGTGGAGGAGGCTTGGACCCTCAAGGGGCTGCACCCAGGGTGAATTGAGGATGGAGACTATAAACCCAAAACCACCCTCCCAAAAGACCCCCCCCCAAAACAAAACCCCCGGCCACCACTGAAGGAAGATAACAAGGAAGCGTAAATGGGAACAAAAGAAGTCTCTTGTGATACCCTGAAAACCCACAGCCATACCTCTCACCTATATGAGGTCTGAATTTACTCGGTGGGAACTGCCAAGCCAAGAAATTTCTATAAATTCCCAGGCTCATCCTATCCCTGGGGCAAATGGCTGAAGCAACCATGGAACTACTCTGATGGGACACTCCACAAACCCAGGCAAGACAGAATTCTTTCAGGACAAAACAGAACAAACTTGAAAACCTAAAGATGAGCTCACCGTATAAAATTACAAAACACATGTGGAACAATCCCGCTGGAGTCAGCAGAAAGAAACCAAAGGGCTGCAGACCAGCACAGCCAAGGGTTTAAGAGAACACCAACAGAAAAAACTATGAAATAAGTGTGATTCAAAGCAAAGAAATGCAAAACTAGGAATCAGACTCATAAGAATGACGGCCGGGTGCGGTGGCTCACGCCTGTAATCCTAGCACTCTGGGAGGCTAAGGCTGGCGGATTGCTCGAGGTCAGGAGTTCAAAATCAGCCTGAGCAAGAGCGAGACCCCGTCTCTACAATAAATAGAAAGAAATTAATTGGTCAACTAATATATATATATAGAAAAAAAAATTAGCTGGGCATGGTGGCGCATGCCTGTAGTCCCAGCTACTCGGGAGGCTGAGGCAGGAGGATCGCTTGAGCCCAGAAGTCTGAGGTTGCTGTGAGCTAGGCTGACACCACAGCACTCACTCTAGCCTGGGCAACAAAGCGAGACTCTGAAAAAAAAAAAAAAAAAAAAAAAAAAAAAAAAGATAAGAATGAGACATTATGAAAAAGAAAAGCAAAATGTAGCTTTCTAGACATGAAAGATAGAAGCATTGAAATAAACTAACAAATAGTTTCAAAAGTAGAATAAACCAGCAGAGGCAATAATTAGTAAGATAAAATGATTTTGTGAAGAAATTACCCCGTAGGAGGCACAGAGAGATGGATTTTAAAAATTATGAAAGAGAGGCTAAGACGAGGACAGAACGATTAGGTCCAACATACACCTAATCAGAGAAGGGTCCAGAGGAAATGGAAGAGACTCAATATTGAAAGCAATAACCACCAAAAATTATCCAGAAGTGATCAAAGACATGGATTCTCATATTCAAGAAAACGAAGTCCCAGATAGGTAAAAAAAAATCTACACCTGAACATACCATGGTAAAACTGTAGAAAACAAAAAGAGATTTTCTTAAAATAAACCATAGAGGAAAGACAGATTTCCCAAAAAAGGAATTATCAGACAGACTGAGGATTTCAATAGCAGTATTAGAAACCAGAGGAATTAGAAGAACCACTTGAGTTTTGAAGGAAACTCTCTACCTAGAATTATATACACCGCCAAACCATCATGAAGGAATGAGGGCAAAATGATGATATTTCCAGGAAAGGCCCAAATAAGTTTACTATTCCTAGACCTATTAAAGTATATTTCAAAAGGATGAAAACTAAAGCAAGAAGGAAGAAATGCATAGAAGAAGCAATAGTGAGCAAACAAATTGGTAGACAAAGTAAACCAATTTAAGCATTAATTATAAAATAAAATAAGTACCAGTAATGTGTAGTGTTGGAGGTTTAAATAACATGTAAATTAAGAGGACAAGTAGACTAGCTCCTTAGATTGTTTGGGAGGAAATAAAACACTAATTTTAAACTTTGAATTATGCATGGCTGTTAAAAAATTAAGGATAACCAATAAAAATTAGAATTAGATTTTATAACTTTCAAACCAGTAGGAGAGAGGAAAAGAAACTTTAATCAATCTAAAAATATAGAAAAAGGAGAAAAAACAAACAAAAAAGCAAAGAAAGTAGAAGCACAAAGTACATGCCCCAAAGAAAATTCAATTTTTAATTTCTTTAAAATAAAGATTGTTAAAGCAAAAATAATAACAATGTAGTGTAGCATACATAGAAGTAAAAGTTATTACAACAATAGCACCAAAGATGGGAAGTGGGAAATGGAATTAGGCTATATAGTAAGATTCTTCTATCATACATGAAGTGTTATAATATTATTGGAAGGTGGACTGTTATAAATTAAAGATGTAAATTAAATTATGTTGTAAACCCTAGAACAATGACTAAAAAATAACAAAAAGATGAGCTATAGCTAAGAAGCCAATGGCAGAGATCAAAATTTAATCTTAAAAACAATTTAGTTAATTGAAAAGAAGGCCAGAAGAAAATTAAAAAAAAAAATAGGGCAAATAGGAAAACAAATAGCAAGATGATAGACTTAAACTCAACCATGTTGATCATTAGATTAAATGTTAATGCTCTAAATACTCCAATTAAAAGACAGAGATTATCAGATTGGATAAAAAAGTAAGACTATCTATATGCTATCTAAAAGAAACCCATTTATATATAAAGATATAAAGAATAAAAGTAAAAGAATAGGGTTGGACACAGTGGCTCATGCTCATAATCCCAGTAACTCAGGAGGATGAGGCAGGAGGATCATTTCAGCCCAGGAATTTGAGAACAACCTAGGCAATATAATGAGACCGTGTCTCTAAAAGAAAAAAAAAAAAGAGACAGAAAATTAGCCAGGCCTGGAGGCACACATCTGTAGTCCCAGCTATTTGGGAGGCTGAGGTCGGAGGATTGCTTATTGCGTGGAGTTTGAGGCTGCAGTAAGCTATGATTGTGCTACTGCACTCTAGCAGGGGTGACAGAGTGAAACCTTGTTTCTAAAAAAATCTTAAAATTTTAAGAAAAAGAATATCAAAAATATACCACACAGACACTAATCAAAAGAGACAGACTATTAATCAGACAAAATAGACTTCAGAATATTTACCAGGGATGAAGAGGAACACTTCATAATGATAAAGGGATTAATTAATCAAGAGGCTCTAACAATCCTAGAGGCATATGCACCTAATAAGAGAGCTTCAAAATACATGAAGCAAAAGCTGATAATTGAAAGGAGCAATAGTCAAAGTCACAATTATTGTTGGAGATCGCAACATTCCTTTCTCAGTAATTAATAGATCCAGTAGGCAGAAGATGAGTGAAGATATGGAAGACTTGAACAAAACTGCTAACCAACTTGATATAACCGGCATTTATAGAACACTATTCCCAACAACAGGAGAACACACATTCTTTAAGTGCAATAAATGAAATAGTCACCAAGATAGAACATGTTCTGGGCCATGAAAAAACATCACAATACATTTAAAAAAACCCTTTTTTTTTGAGACAGGGTCTTGCTCTGTTGCCTAGGCTAGGGTGCAGTGGTACCATCATAGCTCACTGCAACCTCAAACTCCTGGCCCCAAGAGATCCTCCCACCTCAGCCTCCCAAAGGGCTGAGATTATAGGCATGAACCACTGTGCTCAGCACACAACACATTTTAGACTGAAATCCTATCAATTAAGTTCTCAGACCAAAATGGAATTAAACTAGAAATCAATTAATTTTAGAAAATCTCCAATGATGTGGAAGTTAAACACACGTACTTCTAAATCCTCCAGGGACTGAAGAAGGAAATGAGAAAATAATTTGAACTGAATGAAAATGAAAACAAAAACAGCACTTATCAAAATTTGTGAATTTCCTGGGTGGGGCAGGAACAGGAGATGCTGCTTGTGGTCAGTGAAGACATTTTTGATGATATGATGTTGGAACCAAGGTCAGACTGAACGGAACGGGAGGGCTAGCCATGGCAACATACAGGGGGAGAGTGTTCCCGGCATGGGGAGCAGTAAAGGCAAAGACCACAAGGTGGGGATACATTTGAAGTTTAAGGTGCAGTCAGGGAGCCAATGTGGTGTGAGCAGGTGAGCAGGGTTAGGGAGGGGAGGTTGAGGTCATCAAAGTCGCTGAGGGGCCAGCACACAAGGGCTTTGAGGCAGCCAGTGAGGTGGGAAGCCACCACCTAAATGTTCCAGCTGAGAAGTAACATGATCTAACTTGTGTTTAAAAGGATCTTTCTGGAAGCTGTGTGCAGAACAGACCAGAGGCGGAGCAACTTTCTATAAAGGGCCAGAAGGTAATATTTTGGGTTTGCAAACCATATGGTGGTCTCCATCAAGGCTACTCAATGCTACTGTAGTCCAGGGAAGCAGTCACGGACAAGATATAAATGGATGAGTGTGGCTGTGTTCCAATAAAACTTTACTGACAAAAACAGGCAGCGGGCTAGACTTAGCCCTGTAGTATGCCTTCCCTGGAATAGACTATAGAGGACCCAGGGTGAAAGTAGCTGGGAGGCCCTGCAAGAAAATCGAGCAAAAGGTGACAGTGAACTGGACCAGGGTGTAGCAGGGGAGGTGGTGAGACCGTATGTTGTCAAGGCAGACCTGGTGGATCAGATATGGCTGTGAGAGCCATTCACTGGAAGAGGATCATGTGTGTGTGTGTGTGTGTGGGGGGATTAGAGATAATAATCAAGTACTTGCATTAGACATATTGAGTTTAGGGCATCTATTAGATACCTGCTAAATACATTGAGTCAGATATAGGACCTAGAGCTCAAGAGGGAGGCTGGATTATCGGGAATAAGTTTGAATCTTCATTTATAGAGATAGCCTTTAAGACCATGAAAATCGGCCAGGCATGGTGGCTCACGCCTGTAATCCTAGCACTCTGGGAGGCTGAGGCAGGAGGACCGTTTGAGCTCAGGAGTTCGAGACCAGCCTAAGCAAGAGCGAGACCCTGTCTCTACTAAAAAAAAAAAAAAAAAAAATAGAAAGAAATTAGTGGGACAACTAAAAATATATATAAAAAATTAGCCGGGTATGGTGGCGCATGCCTGTAGTCTCAGCTACTCTGGAGGCTGAGGCAGGAGGATCCCTTGAGCTTAAAAGTTTGAGGTTGCTGTGAGCTAGGCTGATGCCACGGCACTTGCCCAGGCAAAAGAGCAAGACTCAGTCTCAAAAAACAAACAAACAAAAAACCATGAAAATGGATGAAGTCTCCTAAGAAGCGTGTGGATAAAAAAGAAAATAGGTCTGAGGACAGTTTTATAGGTGGGTCTCCCAAACCTTCCAGGACAGCTAATCCTGCTCTTACACTCACCATTCCAGGAACAGACAGAGGGAAGACGCCATCTTCAGTTCCTGAGGCTAGCCTGCCTCGACACCCAAATAAGATCCTTTATAGGGCAACCTCACTTCCAAGTATATAAGTTAAAAAAAAAAAAGATCCTGAGACAACTTAACATGAAAGAAAAATAAAACTAGAAAAGACAAAACTTTCAATGTATTAGCAAAGCAAACCTAGAATTTATAATATGAAGTAGTTTTTTATCCCAGTAGTTTTTTATCCCAGCAGTTTAAAGATTATTCTATTAATATAATTTACCACATTAATGAATTAAAGAACAAACCCTGAATCATATGAACAGAAAAGCATTGATAAAATTTCACCCCCATTCATGATTAAAAAGAAAAAAAAAAGTTAAAGCACAGTAGGACTAGATGAAGACTTCCTTAACCTAACAAAGGGTATTTACCAAGCACTTCACACTTAATGGAGAACACATTAGAAACATTTCTTAGAAAAAAAAATCAGGAAGAAAATAAAGATGCCAACCACTATCACGTTTATCTCATGTTATATACTACAGATCTAGCGGGTGCAGGAGCGCAGATTTAAAAAATAAAAATAAAAATAGACACAAAAACTGACATTATTCACAATGATCATTTACATAGAAAACTCCAGATAAATGATTAGAAACAAGAGAATGTCTAGATGCACAACCAATATATAGATTAGTGCTGCTGTCTCTAGCAGTGAATAGTTTTGTTTTTTGTTTTTTGTTTTTTTTTTTTTGAGATAGGATCTCACTCTGTTGCCCGGGGTAGAGTGCTATGGTGTCAGCCTAGCTCACAGCAACCTCAAACTCCTGGGCTCAAGCAATCCTCCTACCTCAGCCTCCCGAGTAGCTGGGACTACAGGCATGCGCCACCATGCCCGGCTAAGTTTTTCTATATATTTTAGTTGGCCAATTAATTTCTTTCTATTTTTAGTAGAGACGGGGGTCTCACTCTTGCTCAGGCTGGTCTCGAACTCCTGACCTTGAGCGATCCTTCCACCTGGGCCTCCCACAGTGCTAGGATTACAGGTGTGAGCCACCGCGGCCCCGCCTTTGTTAATAGTTTTAAAGTGTAATTATTCTTTGTAGAGAGGTTACTCAGCTTGCCCTGGGTCAGGCAGCTCCGGGAAGGGGCAGCAGTCACAGACGGCGTCGCACCCCAGCAGGGCCGTGCTGCTGGGAGGGGGGTGAGAGCACCCTGGTTTGTGTCCCACCCCCGCAGGCCCGACGGGGAGGCGCGCGCAGCACACGCCCGCGGGAGAGGCTCACCATGGGCAGGACGGAGGCCTGCAGCGAGGCGATGGTGACCGGCTGCGCCTTCTTGTCCTCCAGGTTGGAGAGCGGCAGGATCTCCACGCGGTTCAGCTCCTCCTTGGCTTTCTCCCCCAGGCAAATCTGCCAGGGGTCAAAACAGACAGAGGCACCTCATCACCTTGAAGGCAGGCGGGGGACCTGTTGTCCCTTGCCACCGGCTCCATCCTTCTCCCTCCTCCAGGGCGCACCCACCGCGTGAAGCCGCAGCTTGCAGTCGGGCTTGCCCTCCATCTGGGGCTTGAAGGTCCAAGTCCGCTTCTCCTGACTGAGCTCACAGCCTGCCGAGGGAGAGGAGAGGGGGAGGGAGCGGCGGCCGGGGCCCAGAGAGGCTGTCCATACCGCCTCGCAGCCCTCCCCTCAGGGAGCGGCTCTCCCGCGCCCCCAGCTGCGGGATGAGGGGCCGCGCGCTGGGAAGGAGCCTGGGTCCCCACTCACCCCAGAGCACGGTCGTCACTGTCTTTTCGGCCGTGCTGCTGGTGCTGCTGAGATTCATGGCTCGGGCCGAGAAGCCGGTGACCGTGCAGCTGCAAGAAGGGCCCCTGCGGTGAGGCGAGGCCCTGGCCCCCTCCCCGGCCCAGCGCCCCAAGCCACGCCCGAGGACGGCGGGCACCGCAGGTGGCGAGGCCTCGCTGCGGCCCCGAGATCGCCTGCCACCCTCAAGGGCACGTGGTCGGCTCCTAGAGGCCAAGCACCAGCCGGCCCACCGGCCGGGAGAGCCCAGGGCTGTGCCCCTCCACGGGGGCGCGGAGAAAGGCGCTGTCCGTGCGGCCCAGCCTCACCGTCCCTGCTCCGCGCGGCCGGGTCACACCCTGGGCGCCCCTGGAGCGCAGCGCAGCCTCTTCCCCAGGGCAGAGGGCAGCTGCCTGCCGGGTGTTAAGAGGCCGGGGAAGGGGAAGGGGAAGGGGAAGGGGAGGTGTGCAATGGGCCTGGAAGCAGCCCCCTCTCCCCATCCCAGCTCCCATTCCTTCCTCTCGCCGGGAAGCGGAATCACCTGGCAGGCTTGAAGCGCGCATTACTGGGCCCCACGCCACTGTTTCCCCTTAAGTAGGTCTGGGTGGGGCAGAGAAAATTTGCATTTCTAACAAGGGCCCAGGTGAGGGCGGTGCAGCTGGTCCAGCACCCCACCAGAGAGCCCCTGGCGCGGCCCATAGGCTTCACGGCGCCCTCTCCGGTCCCCGCACCCAGCCCAGAGACTCCCCTTCGGGCTTGGAGCGCCCCTCCGGGCTCACTGCCTTCCTTGCGTCCCCCCTTCCCTCTTCCCTCAAGCGTGGACCTTCCCCGAGGCCCAGCCGGCCGGTGCTCTAGAGCCGGCTGCGTCTCCAGAGCGGGAGAGCCCTGTGTCCGGAGTGGCGAGTTTGCCCCCGGAGAGGAGCGGTGGACGCGCCACGGTGCGCGGCCCGCGACTTCACGAGGGCTCGCCTGGTAAGAGCAGCGGCGCCAGGCCACACACGGGGCACTTGAAAGTTTATTTGGGAGGGGCAGTGAAGAGGAGGGGCTTTCAGCTGACCCATCCTCGAGGTCTCTCTGTCTGGGAGTCACTCGTAACTGGGGAGCTCTCTCATGGCGTTTTTCCTTCCCAGTTTTAATTTGCTTTTAAACTTTGAAGGCATGTCGCGACTGTACCCCCTTGGTAATGACTTTATGACTTCAAAGGCAAGGATTGGTCTCTCCAGATGAGCTCCTAAGGGAAGGAGAGTAGCCTTCAGTTCAGAGGACAAGTGAGCAAGACTCTGCAGTCTTAAGTGTGTATTAAGCACCTGCTGTGTACCTGGTCCTAGATTGTGAGCTTAGTCTCTGTCCCTGAGAGACCAGGTAAAGCCAGGTGAGGCAGCAACATGGAGGGGCTTGGTCAGGGATGGAGGGCATGCATCTGACTGTGGGGAGGGGCCAGGATCTGGGGTGGCTTTAGAGCATCTCCATGATTTGAGCCAGTGGCAATGGTGATGTGGGACACAGTGTGGGTATGCACGGTGGAACAGCATGCAGTGGCTCAGAAGCGGATGCTCAGAGTGTGGGGATGGGACTGGGGGCTTCCCGATTTCACCTTGCCTCTCTACCAGGCTTCCTTCTTCCCTTTCTCTGTGATGATGGTGTTGATGATGAGAGGTCTCTCCTTGATGGCAGGGGTCCTGTTATTAGTGCTGTATTACAGATGAGGACACTGAGGCACAGAGGGGGAAGTGGTCTGCTCAAGGTCATAGAGGTAGCAGCTAATACTGCAGGGGAGCCTGCCATATCCCAGGCCCCATGGCCCGTGTCCTTAACTGCTGGCCCTGTGCTGCCTGCAGAGGTGCAGGCCTGGAATGGAACCTGACCGCAGTCTGATCCAGCGCCCTGGCAGATGCTGAGAACCCTTGGGAAGCACCTCTCAACACCCACTTGCACACCCCTGGCACAGGGGCTCATTGCCACAGAGAGAGCAGAATCTTTTATCTTGGAAGCTGCAGTTGGCCTCCCAGTGAATTGGTCCAGGAGAGACTTGGGGGCATGACAGGGCCCCCAAGGCTCCCTGTCCTCAGCTAGGCAGTTCTGGTCTCCTTGGTTGTCCTTGAGCTCCTTGTTCCCAGGAGGGGGGTCTGCTGGAGGTGAAAGCCATACAGCCAAGTATGAGGCAAAAGTGAGCAAATGGTGGGCACAATGCATGCTATGCACAGACGTTCAGGTATTCACTCAACAGGCATCGATTCAGGCCTTGCAAAATGGCCAACCCTGGTCTGGGCTTGAGCTTCCAGCAGTGAATACAACACAGGCCCCTCAAGGGGCATCAGCTTCACAGGAGAGCAGTGCTCAAAGAAAACTGGCCTTCAGTGGCCTCACCTTGCTGTCCCATCAATAATCGCACTGATGTGAGGCTGCAGGTGGGGGTCACAGTGAAAGATGGGTAAATGGAGGCAGGGGAGGGAGATCCACTGAGGTCAGGACCAAGAGCCAGGACGCTGGAGCTAGATGGTTTGGGTTCAAGTCTGGACTCTGCTTTGTGATTTCAGGTGTGCGAATTCACATCGCACTGCCTCAGTTTCTACATCTGCTAAATGGAGCAATAATACTGATATCTACCTCATTTCTTAAAGTTTTTTTTAGTGATATGTAATATACATATTTATGGGGTACACGTGATATTTTGATACATGCATACAATGTGCAATAATCAAATTAGGGTAGTTAGGATATCTAGCACCTGAAACATTCATCATTTCTTTGTGTTGGGAATACTCAATATTCAAGCAAACACTAATCTAGGTGTTGTCAAGGTATTTTGCAGATGTAATGATTAACATCTACAATTTGTTGATTTTATGTAAAGGGAATTACCCTCAATAATGTGGGTGGGCCTGATCCAATCAGTTGAAAGGCTTTAGGATCAGAATGGAGGTTTTCCTGAAGTTTTGCCTATGGACTGCAGCTTCAGCTCCTGCTCAAGAGCTTCCAGCCTGGATTTCAGACTTGCCTAGTCCGTCCTTATAATCACTAATCACACAAGCCAATTCCTTGCAATAAACTCCTGACTGATACACCTGTTGATGGACATTTGGATACTTCCTAATTTAAAAGGATTATGAATAAAAATGCTATGAACATTTGAGAGCAAGCCTTTGGACATATGTTTTAATTTTTCTTGGGTAAATATCTAGGAGTGGAATTGCTGGATATATGGTAAACCTATGTTAAACTTTATATGAAACTGCAAAACTACTTTCCAAATTGCTATACCATTTTGCATTTGTACCTATAATGTATAAGAATTCTAACTGTAAAAAAAAAAAAAGAATTCTTTTTTTTTTTTCTTTTTTGACTATTGTGGTGCTCAAAAAAAAAAAGAATTCTAATTGCTCTACACCTTTATCAACACTTGACATTGTTAGTCTTTTTAATTTCAGCCATTCTAGTGGATGTATAGTAGCATTTCATTGTTGTTTTTTTTTTTTTTTTATATATATATATCAGTTGGCCAATTAATTTCTTTCTATTTATAGTAGAGACGGGGTCTCACTCTTGCTCAGGCTGGTTTCGAACTCCTGACCTTGAGCAATCCGCCCGCCTCGGCCTCCCAAGAGCTAGGATTACAGGCGTGAGCCACAGCGCCCGGCCTCATTGTCGTTTTTATTTGTATTTTCTTGATGACAAGTGATGTTGAGTATCTTTTCAAGTGATTATTGGTCAATTGTATATCTTCTTTTGCAAAATGCCTGTTCAAGTATTTTGCCCATTTTAAAATTGGGCTATTCTTATTTTGGGCTATTACTGAGTTATATATATTCTTTATATATACTGGATACCTGTTTTGTGTCAAATATATGTATTCCAGAGATTTTTCACTCTTAACTACAGCTGGCTGGTTCATTTTTTTCCTTTTCCTTTTTTTGGTTTTGATTCATTTTTAAGTGTTGTCTTCTGAAGAGCAGAAAATTTAAATTTTGATGAAGCCCAATATATTTTTTTTCTTGTATGGCTCATGCTTTTGATATGTTAAGATATCTTGGCTTAACATAAAGTTCATGAAAGTTTTTTTCTAAGTTCCTGTCTAGAATTTGTACTTTTACCTTTAGGTATGTTATACATTTTGAGTTAATTTTTGTGTATAGCATTAGGTAAGGATCAGAGATCCTCCTCCCTACCCCGACAATTGCATATGCAGTTCCTCTAGCACCATTTTTAGAAAAGACTATCTTTTCCCTATTGAATTACCTTGGCATCTTTGTTGAAAATCAATAACCATATATGTTGTCCTATTTCTAGGCATTTTTTTCCCCACTTAACTGTATGTCAGTCCTAGTGCCAGTACCACATATCTTGATTACTATAGCTTTATAGTAAATCTGAAATCAGGTAGCATGAGTCCTCCAACTCTATTTCAAAAATGCTTTGGCTATTCCAGATTCTTTTTTTTTTTTTTGAGACAGAGTCTCGCTTTGTTGCCCAGGATAGACATGAGTGCCGTGGCGTCAGCCTAGCTCACAGCAACCTCAAACTCCTGGGATCAAGCAATCCTTCTGCCTCAGCCTCCCAAGTAGCTAGGACTACAGGCATACACCACCATGCCCAGCTAATTTTTTCTATATATATTAGTTAGCCAATTAATTTCTTTCTATTTATAGTAGAGACAGGGTCTCACTCTTGCTCAGGCTGGTTTGGAACTCCTGACCTCAAGCAATCCGCCTGCCTTGGCCTTCCAGAGTGCTAAGATAACAGGCGTGAGCCACCATGCCTGGCCATATTCCAGATTCTTTACATTTTCATATAAATGTGAGTCTCAGCTTGTCAGTTCCAAAAAAAAACCACTTTGGGATTTTGTTGAATACAGAGATCAATTTGGGATAAGTGACATCACAGTTGTGAGTCATCCAATCCATGAACATGTTACAAACTATTTAGATCTTCTTTAATTTTCCTCAGCAATCTTTTATAGATTTTAGTGTACAGATATGGCACATCTCTTGCTAAACCTATTCCTATGTATTTCATCTTTTTGGATGCTACAATAAATTGTGTATATATATAAATGTTTTTTTTTTGAGACAGAGTCTCAATTTGTTGCCCAGGCTAGAGTGAGTGCCGTGGCGTCAGCCTAACTCACAGCAACCTCAAACTCCTAGGCTCAACTGATCCTACTGCCTCAGCCTCCCGAGTTGCTGGGACTACAGGCATGTGCTACCATGCCCAGCTAATTTTTTCTATATATTTTTAGTTGGCCAATTACTTTCTATTTTACTAGAGACAGGGTCTCGCTCTTGCTCAGGCTGGTTTCGAACTCCTGACCTTAAGCAATCTGCCCGCCTCTGCCTCCCAGAGTGCTAGGATTATAGGCATGAGTCACCGTGCCCGGCCAATAAATGGTATATATTTTAAAATTCCACCTCATAATTGGATACT